TTGCCTAACTAATTTTGCTCAGAGGTCTCCTAGAGACATGAGGATCTTTTACGTGCCGTGAATCTACGACATGGGACCCACGGCTTAAAGTCCCTCCCGGAGGACTTGTGCTCTGAATTTTTCTGCCCTTAAAAATTCCACGACCTTAACCGGGTTTGAACCCACGTACCTTGAGTCATGAAAATAATTTAGTACTGAGGGTACTGTTGATATACTTATTATTATGATTTATTGTAAAAGTATCTGACATTACTGTCTTAGTTTTAAATTGAATACAATATGTCTTATTAAAGTTTAAAGATAATTTATCAGCTCTAAACTATCCATTTAAGATTTCAATAGTTATAAGAATACTCCTGTTAAGATCATTTATATTAGAAGGTGAAAATAAGATGCTAGTATCATCAGCAAAAATTATAGGTATAGACATGACTTTAATTTATACTGGGTCTCTTCTTTGTTTAGTGTGGAAAGATACTGCTATTGTTTGTTAGTATTTATTAAAAGAATGCATAGAACCATAATTCAAGTCATGAATTATGCTATTTATTTTTTTGCTGGAGAATCTGCTCATTTCCCACTACTATTAGAATGCGTGCATCACTGGAGTTAATAGCTAGAATCAATTTGGAATCATTTATTTCAGTTATTAAACATAAGTAATTCTGGACTGTGTAAGGATTTAGTGAAGATCCAGTATTGCTTGTTTCAAGGATACAGTCATTGCAATTAGTTCACAGGGCTGATTATTTCATTTATTAACTTTCCTTTATGTGTATTTAAGACAGATAGAGTAATAATAAAATTATAATTTTAGATTATTCGACTTGCATTAGTAGGTTAAGGCACTATGCTACAAGTACATGCCAAAAGGTCACAGGTTCAATTCTTGTTGAGGTCACTGAAATTTCAATTGATCTAATCTTTCCAACTGTACTATGGCCATGAGTTCGACTCAGCCTCTTAACAGAAATGAGTACCAGAATCTTCCTTGGGGTAAAGGGCATCTGGAGCATAAGGCTGACAAATTCACCATCATCTGTGAGTCGAGTGTCCAGTAATTTTGGCAGCCTTGACATCTCAAAACCTTATGTGTCTCCACGGTCTGTTATAGAGATAGATTTACCTTTTTAATACCTTCCCAAGCAAACCAACTTTCCTAGCCATTGTGTAGAAAGTGTATTAGGTATAGCCCAAAACTCATAATTCATACAAGAGACCCCATCACTTCTTGTGAACAAGACTCTTCCTCGAACAAGCTATAATTTGCCCTTGAAGATGGAGCTCCAGTGACTAAGACAAGCACTGTACAGGTCTGGTCCTGAAGGTGAGAAAGCAGTGGTAGTTAAAGCATTTATGACTTCCAAGCTTATTGCAGAGGGGGGTCTTTTCAAGCAATAATATAAGGAACTGAATTAAATGGGATGTTATTCAGTATGTGTATCCCAAGTGTAGCAGGTCAGAGTGTTCCTCAATATACTGGAGATTGATATGGCTTTCCTTTGCTAACATTCCCTCATAAGGGAAAATGTAGGCAATCCTACCTAAATTCATGTAGTGGTTGATTATGCTAAGTGACACCTGTAACTACATTTGGTGTCATTATGTATACTTCTTTTAATCTAGATATAAGTATGCTCACATTTACTTTGTTCCAAGTTATGGCATTTCACTGGAATTTCACAACTAATTTATTTTTTAAATACATGTCACGAATTCTAGGAATGCATCCTTGATATATTCCCGAGACCATTTATAATAACTGAAGATTACGCTGTGCTGTCTTCCATAAGAACCTACCTTGTATCAAGATGCCACAGCATGATCTTGCTGAAGATGTGAATCATGATTTCATCTTGAAACTCATCAATGCACAAAATGTTGAAATGACGGATAAATCTTGGGGTTATCTCGTTCCCACCCTGGCTCATAGGACACATGGCACACATCAGCTGCACAATAAAACATGCTTTGATCACCACATCTGGAAGCATGTTTTAGCTACTGAGATGTCAAAACTCTTCAAGATGCCTGGAGCAACTGATTTATTTATTTTGTTCGTTTATTTATTTATCTATTTATTTGCATACTTATTATTTGTGAACCGTCTGATCTGCTGTATTACTAACACACTCATATATGCCAAAATATGCCCTGCAATTCTAGAAACTACATTTTTTTGTTTGTACTTACATTTGCCATCTCTAGATTTCTGGACTCACACATGTATTTGTTTTGAGGTTGAAAACACAATTCTTATGGGTCACTTAAACACAAAACTAAGTTTTCTTACAACAAATGAAGATGAAAATACATCACACCATAAACCAATGCAAATTTTACTTTGTTTCAGTAGAGACTTCACAGCATGACATGAGTCCTCTGTGCCATGTAATACTAAACATTTCTAAATGGCACAAATATAATACTATTCAGTAACTTGAAAAACATTTGAAAGTGTGTTTTGCATTAGTTTTTGGCCACCATTTGTCTCTTTAATGAAATAGAAACAAGGCATATTCTTCTAAAGATAGTTCACCAAGAGGAACATTCTTGTAATTACTGTTCTTTTCTGTGGGGCAACATTTGGAAGGAACAGCGTAGTTTACAAAACTGATACACTGGTTTCTTGGACGTGGCTGTACCTAAATTTTAACAGAAAAAAAATTAACTTTCTTGGAATTATCTTCCCAAGAGAAACATTTTCTTATATTAATCAATTTTGTTGACACAGCATTTGAGAGAAACAGAATGGGATAGCTGGACAACATCCGTCTATTATACAGGATAGCTGCTCACTCATGAGTACTGCTGGAGCATTTCAATTGGGAGTTGACCATACTCTATACAGCTATGTTCTTGCTTCAAGCAACTAGCACCTGTTCACTCATACCTACCTTAAGAACCGGTTGAGATCACAGTACTTCAACAATAATGAGGAGTTAATGGAAAATGTCAAAACGTGGCTGAGCTCACAGGTGGAAGAATTCCTTGACACAGGCATACAAAAACGACAGTTGCCTCAAATTCGGTGGTGACTACACTGAGAAGTAGCTTAAGTATGTACATATTTTTTGCATATAATAAAATCTTTTATTCATTGCTTGTTTTGTTAACAGCTCACAGGAGTTTGCTTTCCGAATAGCCCTCGTATTTTCACATTTTTTTATGTAAATAAATATTTTGGAATACATAAATATAATAACAAAAATACAAGATATTGGGCTTTAGTAGGAAAACTTGAAGGAAATAAACCACTACGAATACTTACATATATGATAGAATAATATTGAAATGGATCTTAGAGAAATCTTTCTGTTTTCCAGAAGGGCACTATGTTTACTGGTATTAAGTTATTTAATAGATTGTCAAAGACCATTCAAAGTCTTGGAAAGGATAGAATCAGTTTTAGAAATAATTTATTTGCATATTTCATGAATAACTCATTTTATACAGTTGATGAATTTTTGGAGCATACAATAAATAATTAGTACCACTGTTTGTTTAGCTTTGTATTGTCTTTCTGCTTTGTTTGTTCGTGTTATATTTGTGACCAGTTTCATGTCCATTGTATTTTGGACTTGCAAAATGTGAAATATATGTATGTATGTAAAGAGGAGGGTGGGGGGGGCTCGATTCATCTGGCTTAAGATGGAGACCCATGGCAGGCTCTTGCAAATATGGTAATGAACCTTCAGGTTCCATTAAATACTGGGAATTTGTTGAGTGGTTGAGCAACTGCTAATTTCTCTAGGAGGACTTTGCTCCATGGAGTTGGTTAGTTATACATAGTAGAGAACTGATACATGAATATTTCACACATCTGCACAGCCAGTTTTTAGAATGTGAAGAGAAGTGTTATAAGCCATTTGGTAAATATTCTCCTTTGTTTCGATACGGGGATCCCCCACTTGGGGTTCCATAAATTTAAATGTAAGAAGAGCATAAATGACACCTGTTTCCAGATGGAAAATCAGTGGAGAACAATCAACTGTCTAAGATCTTAGGATATTAATGTGTTTAAGTTGTATTGGACAATACAGGTATAATCTGCTTAACAACAACAAGAACAACATGAAGTTCTGGGGAGAAGTCATGATGCCTATTTCTCTTATGGTTCATCATTATATACGGCGAAGCTACCAAAAACTATAATCATAATTATGCAAGTTAGTAAGCCAGCCTCTTCATAATTTCTGAGAATAAGGATCCCCACTCTGTCAGACTTGTTAAATTTAACCTCAAAGGCTTGTGCTCTTGTTGTATCTGTAATGTTAAGCACATGAGACTTGGTTTATGCAATAATTGTAGTTCAGTATATCACTATATTATTTATATAAATTTCATAGGCATAGCTCAGGCAGCTCATTAAACAGAAAGATCAATACAGTTTACACAAACATCTATTTACAAGTTTGGCTTGCCTCTGTATTGAAAGAATAATTTTCATATCTCTCCCACAACATCACATTTAAACTAACCAGTGCAGGAGCCATAGCATGCAATATTATTTGAGTGGCCAACCTGAATGTCAATCAGTTTTACTGGGGAAATATCCTTGTGATCATACCACGCCCTGTGGTCCAGCCACTGACGGAGAAGCTCAATTGGAGGTTGAGCGCCAAACTTTTCCTTCTGGGGCATGTTCACATCATCCACAAACACCACACACTGCTTACCAAGTGCCGGTCCATACACTCCTGCAACATGGAGCACTTGGCATCAGCAAGTATTCAACATAGTGTAACATGTTGCGCAACGGAGAACCCCTCCCTACCCAGCAGCAACGTGGCAACTCAGGCCACAGGCGCGTGGCCGTAACATAGCGCTCCCTCCCACCCCTCCGCGGTGACGTAACGTGCAACGCTACATACCCGTAATCAACTTCCTACTGTGACATGGAACACAACAGGCACCACTGCAACTATATAAGGGAACTGCACAGCAGCTACGAGAGAGTTGTAAAGTAACAGTCGCCGAGTCGAGTCGTAAAGTGACAGTCGCTGAGTGTGTTATCAACAGTTCTCCAGTCAGCCGACTACAGTTGGACTATAGCAGCCGTCGCAGAAAGAAGAACTGGACGTGTGTGTAATTGGGAGTGTGTGGTACAGTGATACATAGCTCCCCTACTGTAAACGTGTAGACCACTGAAGGCAGAGTGAACTGATTTGTGCATAGGGTTATAAATCGTGAAGACTCTTGAAGATACTGTTAAGAGATTTTGTTGTAGGATTTGTAAAGTGTGGAAACCCGTAATATTGTGATAATTAATTGTAGCCGTTATTTGAAGATTGTTAAATAAACTAATTAACCATCTCTACGGCGTCTTCTGTAACGAAACACGTTACATTGGTGTCAGAAGTGGGATTTGGACTTACACACGTGACGAACAAGATTCGAACTCAAGACACGTGATAATTTGGTGTCAGAATTTTTCGGTTGACTCTGATTTCCTTCAGCAGAAGTTCCATCATCTGCTGCATCTCCATTTTGTAGCAGTAGAATAGTCGAAGCAGTCGTAAGTTTAATTATTCGTTGAGGCGTATTTAAGCACGTTGCGCGTTGCATAGCTACCAGGATGCGGGGTGATTACTCGCCTATTACCGAGCGCTACGCTACCGCTACGTGCAGCTGGAGAGGTCACAATAGCTTTCTTCTGTCACCATTGGCAAGTGACAAATATTCATGACATAACAATACACTGGCTTTAATTCCATAACCAAATTTAACTGTGAAGTTTAAAAAACTGAATTTCCACAAAAATACAGATTGAGTGTATCTCATGAACAAACAAGGCTAAAGGTCAGGTTGTACATATTCTACCCACTACTCTGTTTCACTGAACATCATCTGGTAGTGATGAAATAATTCATATTAATTTGGCTAATTATACTTTGGGTGCATATTATAGTAGGAAAAATTGTAAGAAGGGTAGAACGTGTATATATGTGCATGATAGTCTAATAACTCATACTATTAATCTTGATAAATTTTGTTGTGATAAGGATATTGAAGCCTGTGCTGTCACTTTAAATACTATAAATTTTAAAGTAAGTGTTTTAACTATATATAGATCGCCTTCCAGTGATTATGAAATATTTTTGAGTAAACTGGGATTCTACAAAATTTGTATATAAAAAAAGGATAAAGTATTTGTTTACGGGGATTTTAATGTGAAGTATATGGAAAATTCTCATAAGAAAATTAGATTTTAAGATATTCTTAGCTCCTTCAATCTTAGAAGTATTATTACTTTTCCTACTAGAGTAGGACCAAATTCGTCCACAATTATTGATAATATATTTATTGACTGAGTGGTGGGAGGGGAGCGCTGACTCACCCCCCGCGTCACTGCTGGTGTGGGGGGGGGCTCGGATTTCGCAACATGTCACAATATATTTATTGACAAACAACATATTACCGCCTATGAAGTTTTTCCATCTCTAATGGATTATCGGATCATGAAGCACAATTGTTAATTGCACAATTTCCATTACCTTGTATCAAAAAGAGTGAAATAGTAGTAAAAAGAAATACAAATGATTATAATATGGCAGAATTTACAGTGAAACTAAGTTATGAAAAATTGGAACTAGCTTATAACAATAATGACATTAATACTAGTTTTAATAAATTTTTAAATATATTTTTGAGAGATTTTTATGAGTTGTTTTGAATAACAAGTAGACAGAAGTACAAACAGAAATCATGGATTACCACTGGTATAAGAATTTCTTGTAGAAACAAAAGGATATTATATCTTGAAGCAAAGAAAAGTAACAACCCTATAATAGCCACCTATTATAAGAACTATTGTAAAATATTAATTAGAGTTATAAATCTAGCTAAGAAGATGACATATGATAAACAAATTAAATATTCAAAAAATAAAGCTAGAACCACTTGGAGCATAATAAATAGTGAAGTGTTAAAGAAAGGAAATAGAGAAAATATTAAAACTTTGGTCATTGAAGGTAAAAGGAATACTAATTTGAATGATATTGTTGAAACATTTAATAGCTCTTTTAGTGGTATAGTGGATAATATACATAAATATATAAAAGGAAATGGTGAAAATAATAAATCTAAAACTACAAATTATATGACATACTTGACTGATGCATTTGAGAGTCCACTACCTAGCATAAAAACTGTAAAAACTACAAGTACAGAAGTAGAAAGGATTATATGGTCCCTAAAATCTAGTCAAACCCATGGATATGATGAAATTTCGAATAATATACTCAAAGCCTGTAAAATCTTTATTAGTGAACCTATAAGTTAATTATGTAACAGTGCTATGCGTGAGGGTATTTTCCCAGACAGATTAAAATATGCTACAACACTACCAATATAAAAAAAAGGTGATAAAGACTCAGAATCAAATTACAGACCTATATCCATATTGACATCTATTAGTAAGATATTTGAGAAGGTAATGCATAGTGGATTGTTAAAACATTTGAATAATAGTAGTATATTAAGCAAATACCAGTTTGGATTTAGAGAAAATCAAGGGACTGAAAATGCAATTTATAGACTTATCTCTGGAATACTAGACTCATTAAATAAAAAAATGCAAGTCTGTGGGATTTTCTGAGACTTAGAAAAGGCTTTCGATTGTGTTAGCCATGATATACTATTAAATAAATTGAGGTATTATGGAATAAAAGACAAACAATACGACCTATATAAGTCATATCTATTGAAAAGAAAACAGAGAACTGCTATCTCCAATGGGACAAACAGTAGTAAAGTAAACTCTCAATGCGTTAAAGTAACTACTGGTGTCCCGCCAGGGTCGATACTGGGACCACTACTGTTTATAATATATATAAATGACCTACCCAAGATTTTAGAGACGAGGAGTATTCCCATTCTAATTGCTAATTATGCCAGGTTTTTAATCTCTCAAGACAACCCAATAAAACTTAAAAATACAATAAATGAAGTATATAGGATGCTGCAGGACTAGTTTAAAAAAAAATTCATGTCACTTAATAAAATATAATGAAAACATAAACTTCACTGTAAAAAATAATGGATTACAGCATTCCATATATAATGCCTCCTATTTTTTTAAGAAAACTACAACAGATACAGAAAGCATAATAATGCAGTTAAATAGAGCAAGATTTCAGCTACTTACAGTTATTTTTCCACATAATCATCACCATTCGTTATGCACTTTTGCCAGCGATTAACAAGAGCCTGTATGATGCACCCGTTAAAGTCTGCGCTAGCAGAGGCTAGCCACTTTCTTACAGCTGCAATGACAGCATCACTGTCTGGAAAGTGTTGCCCACGTAGTCCATCTTTCTTAGGCCCAAAGATATGGAAGTCTGAAGGTGCTAAACCGGGGCTAAAAGGTGGATGTGGTAGGAGAGTCCAGCCAAACTTTGCAATGTGCACGGTGGTCGCCAAACTTGTATGGGGTCTAGCGTTATCGCGTTGCAAGCAAATTGTTGTCTGCTTCTTTGGCCTGACTCAGGAAATAAGGGCTTTCAGCTTAGTCAGCATCATTTTGTAGCGTTCAGAATTGACAGTCCCTGGTCGTTATCTGCTGATCTGTATGGATGAGGCGGTGTTCATTGTGAGGAGTGGCAGCTGAGCAGGGACGCCCAGGGCGTGGCTTGTCATGCACTTCACTTTCGCCACTGTTGAAACGCACTACCCACCACCTCACTGTGCTCACTTCCACTGTATTGTCTACGTACACCTTTAGCAAGTGTCGATGGATGTCAGTGGGTACAATTTGTTCGGCAATGAGAAATTCAATAACACATCTGTATTTCATACACACTTCTATGTCAGACACCATTTTGGTAGACTGCTCTGCTGTTGCTATCTGCTGCACAACAACCAAACTAACAGTAGATTGGCGGGAAGGTTCAACCTTTACTGCAACACCACCAACTTCCATCTCAGAAGTTACATATTAACACAAAAAAATAGGAGGCATTATTTATGGAACATCCCTAGTACTTAGAGAAATGGGAGGCATAGGAATGGTTTTATTAAACATAAATCACATAAAATTTCTTGGCCTGACTATCCAAAATGATATAACTTGGGACAGACACATACGTAGGTCGTACTGAAAGTCATGAGCAACTTTATTTTTTGCATGCAACCTGGGAACAGCAGACGAAAGAGAGTATGGTGGTAGGTGGAACTAGCTGTTGTGTTAACCTTGAGTGTCTTGTGACATCAATAGCTTGCATCACGTGACCAGTATCACTCCTAACAAAATGGCTGACAACCATATGTCATTTCGCTAGCATGCTGTCATCAAATTTCTTGTGAAAGACGAAATCCCTGCTGCAGAAATTCACCTGTGACTTCAGCGTGCTTATGGAAGTGTGTGCATGGGTGCGAGCAGTGTTTGAAGATGAGTGAAACATTTTAAAGATGGGAACACCAACATCAAAGATGAGTCTCGGAGCGGTCATCCTTGAACAGCCTCAGCTGAACGCAACAAGGAAAGAGTGGATGAGAGCATTCAAGATGACAGGTGTGTTACTGTGGACACAATAGCCCAAAAACTTGGAATAGGGCACAGTGCAGTACATGAGATGATTGAAAGTTAGGGCTATAGGAAAGTTTGCGCTCATCGGGTCCTGCGGTTATTAACCAAAGACCACAAAGGTCAACGAAAAGCCATCACCTCAGAACTGCTGTAGAGATATCAACACGAAGGCGACGATTTTTTGCTCTGTATTGTGACAGGTGATGAAAGCTGGTTTCACCATTTTGAGCCTGAAACGAAATGGCAGAGTATGGAATGGCACCATTTGCATTCTCCATCAAAAAAGAAGGCAAAGACGGTCCCATCAGCTGTGGAAGGTGATGGACACAGTCTTCTGGGATGCAGAAGGGTTTATTCTGGCCGAATTCCTGGAACCTGGGCAAACCATCAATGCTGCTCATTATGTCCAGACACAGCACAAGCTCCGTCGTGCATTGTGCGATAAACGTCCGGGATAAAGCATCATCATCCTGCATGACAACGCTCGCCCCCACGCTGCTCGCCTCACATTGGAAGCAACTGCAAAGATGGGGTGGGAAGTTCTTCCACACCCCTCCTATAGCCCTGATCTGGCACCCTCCAACTACCATCTTTTCGGATTTGTGAAGGATCAGCTGCATGGACAACGTTTGGAGACAAGGGAGGCAATTCAGAAAGTAGTGTGTCAGTGTCTTTGGATAGCTGGAACGGAATTTTACAGAAGGGGAATTTTCAAACTCCCAGAACGCTGGGAAAAATGTGTACAAAGAAGTGGCGATTATGTGGAAAAATAAAGAAAGGTCTGTAGATTGAGGTGGTGTATTTGGTTTGTCAATAATAAAGCATATTACTTTACTAAAAACTGTTGCTCATAACTTTCAGTACAAACCTCGTAGACGAGATAATAAAGAAATTAAATACAGCTTGTGATATGATAAGAAATGTAAAACCAGTGGTGTCTGTAAAAACATTAAAAAGTGTTTATTATTCATACTTCCATTCTGTTACAACATATGGAGTAATGTTTTGGGGTAACTCAACACATGCAGAAAGAGTTTTCAAGATAAAAAGAGAGTTATAAGAATAATAAAAGGATGTTGCTACAGAGAGTCATGCAGAGAACAGTTTAGGAATATGAATATACGTAGGTCTTTTCAGAAATAATGCACACAATTTTTTGTTTACGTCCATGCTTATTATGTTTTTTAATATCTCTTTACAGTCCTTCAATATAGCCCCCTGCTTCTCAATTACCGAGTCTCAACATGTGGGAAGCTTTACTATTCCATCCAGGACACCATCTTTGTTTATCTGTCGAAGGCTCGGGTACTGCAACAGAAGGCTCTTCCAAAGAGGGAAAACGACGGCCTTGCATAGGTTGTTTCAACTTTGGGAATAAGTCGAAGTCTGGTGAACTCATGTCCAGGCTGTAGGGAGCATGAGGCAACACCTCCCAACCATACTGGTGCAGCTTTTCTGTTACGACATTCCTGATGTGCAGGCAAGCGTTGTCATGGAGAATGAACGGCCCAGCCTCAAGCAACTGAGGTCAGTTTTTGTGCATTTTTCTGCACAGATTTTGCATAAAGTCACAATAATAAACTGTTGTGACACTTTTCCCGCATGGAACTCTGTCAGTCGTGATGATTCCTTTGTGATCATAAGCAAAGATCATCATTTGTTTGACCTTTGATTGAGATCGTCGAAACTTTTTTGGTTGTGGGGAAGATGGACCTCTCCACTTGTTGGACTGTGGTTTCAGCTGTGGATTTCTGTTGGGTTTTTTCCAAGTAAAGTTTCGATCTTAATGTACGACCTTTGATCTTCAACCGTCACAATACCTGAGAACCGTGCAGGCTCTATTTCTAACTCACATTATTTAAGAACAGAGTATATTATAAATGAAACAAAATAATGTGCTTCTTCCTCAAGCCCTGAACTGTAACTGATATGAGGCTCACTGTTGTTGCGTCATCTAATCTGCATTGCCAACCTCTGCATTATTTATGAAATGACCCACATATTTCCTTTAAGATCACAATATATATACTCTCTGCTGATGTTTGTAGTAAAAAATTGAGGAATATTTGAAACAAATAGAGACAGGTATGAAATAAGTACTACACATAATATGGATATACATATGAGCCAGGTAAATTTGGCGAAATATGGTAATGGGGTAATTTACATGGCCGTAAGGATTTACAATGCACTACCTAATAAAATTAAAGTAACTTCTAATGATATAAACAAGTTTAAAAACAATTTAAAGGAATTTCTTTATTTAAATTCTTTTTATACATTGGATGAATATTTTAAGAGATAATGATTATACAACTGTATAAATACATAAGATGTTGAGTAGTACAGTAAATGTGTAATCATCGTGAATGTACGATAACCATACTTATAATTGAATGTTTTTATATGTTGGATTTGTTGTATATGTTAAAGCTATATGACCAAAATATTCTGTTATTTTTGACAGAAACTTTTATCTAAAATTTTTATTTTAAATGATAATTTTGAGTGTATTGTGCTAGAGAGTAATTATATTATGATGTAAACAAACAGAGTCATATATTATAAGTCTTTTTGACAATTGCTTGATAGTATTAGCAAGATAAATTGACACAGTTCTGCATCTAAGGCTATAGATGTAATGGAATAAGGAAGAAATAATAATAATAATAATAATAATAATATCTCCATATTAAAATTACTCACACTCATATTACAATATGTGTTCATCAAAATTACACAATAATTACATATGATGAACAGATAATATATAGTATTTATGATATCCAGCTCAATGCTCTCCAAGTTTTTGGTCTAGCATTACTACAGACTTCCTAGCATCAACGCCTCTCTAGTAACCTTCAAGATGGCATTGACGTATAGTAAACTGACTCCATATTTTCACAGCAACAAAGCTTACATGCAACTGTCTTCCAAAGGACTAGCCTTGTGGACTCAAATTACTAAGAGAGTATGCACCTAATGACACTGTTGTATCAACTTAAAACGGGTTGTGTTTGATTACACCTAATATAATTATATTAATTGGAGACAGGCAGGGACAGGTTACACCAGGCCTAAGAATCAGATTATATAAGAGAAATAGTGGTAAAGCTCCATACATTTAGTCCTCGGCATTATATGATGGTGAGCTCTACTGATAATAGTTATGATAATGATACTTTCTTATCTCTTCAGTCATGGATAATTTGGTATACTGTAATTAACAAATACAGTACATTTCAATCCTTTAAATATAGAATTTTGGGGCAATACTTCCAAACATCTGGATCCAGTACGCATAATTTTAAACCTAAGATGTTCCACCTCTAAAACACCAGATCCCTCTTTGAATAATATAGCAATGAATAAAAATATGGAAAGAATGAAAAAATTATGACATTACCTTTTCTTCGCCTGTCAAGTTTATTCATGATGATTTCCTGTGTCTGATTAGCTGAAGTGTGTGCAGAGAAGTTCATAATCAGTGACTCATACACATCCTTATTTACTTTGTGCAACAGAGTGTCCTGCATAAATGAACAGAAAAACAGTAAAAAGAGTGCTGTCTTTAGGGATGTGACAACATGTCTTCTCCCAGTGTTTAAAAGCAACATACTCCCTCCAATTTCAGGGTTGAAGAATAAGTTAAACAAGTAGCAAGCAGAGTGTTCATGCAGAGCTTCAGTTGTTGGCCTGTAAAGCAGACCAGATAGAACCAACAGAATCAAGGATAAGAGGAACAAGAGGTGACCCTGAAAAGAGCTGTATTTGAAAAAGTGGATGGATTGGAGAAGATGAGAACAAAAGAGAATGAGTGACCATTGGATTCATGCATGGACCTGGAGAGCAACAGGGACTGTAGGCAGTGGTTGAATACATTTCAGAAAGGACAACTGTAGCAACAGGCAGACAGATTTATATGGCCTTCAGTCCTCATGCGAAGATTGCTATAACCAGCAAGGATCCTGACCTGGTACCCTTTCTGCCCTATGTTTGATTGACCTTCAAATGCTCTAGTAGGGTGCTGTTCTGGCACATCATCAAGTTGGTGACCCTCCCATCAAGAATATCTCCAGCTTCTTTTGGCTGGTCTAGGATGACCTATGATTGAAGATGCCAGGAACATACAGTATCCCCTGAGTATGCTCAGGTCTATATTGGCAGAGAGGATATTCCAATACTACCAGGGTGAAAGAGCACAACTGGCATACATCAGCATATTCATAATCATTCAGAGAAGTAAGGCATGGCAGAGCACAGCACGAACTTGAAACACCACATTGAGTTCCAGAACATCAGCACATTCTCTACCAAATCCAGTCAGTTAGACTGTATCATCAGGGTGGAAAATGAAATGAAATTCCATCCTAACAACATGAATAGGGAGGATGGCTTCTGTCTGAACTAGTAATGAAAACCTCTTTCCTCCCATCTGAAAGAACAAAGAAAGGCTCCTTCATGGAATATCTCATGCTGGGGTTCTTCACCAGGTCATTAGACCCAAGCACACTGCCTTTCCAAATGATCCATCTGCCCAAGCTCTCCTTGCTGCTCTTTCTGCAGCAGCTTCTTCCTTTCATTGGCTCTCATTCTGCACCTCCCTCCTCCTTTTATCCCCCATTGCACTGCCTACAGCTCTGTTATTCTATGTATCCAGTTGTGGTGGTGGAAATAAATATAATTTGAAACATGAGCTGTGTTCCTTCAATACACCTGCCTCCACTGTGAGACATAAACAATTATTCTAGTCACTTCAATGCTTATATATTATTTTTACGTTATTTTTTAGGTTATCATACCATGGTTACTTGTGTTGTACACACATGTTTCTGTATGTAACAGAATTAACCATGGCATAATAATAACAAAAAAACAGCTTAAACTATTTAATAAGCATTTCACATTACTCGTAAAATGCAAAAAACAACAGCATAACAACAGATCAGCACTTTTCTCTTACAATTTTACAAAATTTTTTAACTACCAGTTAGGCCAAAACATGTAGTGTTAAATAAATAGTAAGAGACAAAGACCCTTTAAAGTGTAAATTTTAATGTACAGACAAAGTTGCACAGGGATGATGGAATGAGAGTGATGACACTGGAATACATAGTGCAACAGGATGCTGCAATTCAATATTCCAGTCATATAACTAATCCAATATAAAATGTAGATAAGATAATATGAAATGGATGTAGTAAAATTGACTGTGAGGTAAAACTGATGTAACTGTCTGAGGACAGGGATTAATGTGGAATTCCATCTGATGGTGATAAATATTTTAACACCACAGTGTAGGGTTTCGACTTCAAGAGTTCAATAACTATCAAATGCGAAGGTAATATTATGCGCCAGTGCATGATTCAGCAAACCAATTGGGTATTAAGACTGATTTGCCATCATTTAATGACACTGTATCAGCTTCAGGGTCATGTAGTTTTAGAATATGATTTTAGATATGGAACTTATTTGATTAAAATCACTTTCAATATGAAATGCTGGTTCCTCACTGAACAATGATAACAAAAATGCAGTTTCAGAGTGACAAAACAGATGTCACATAACAGTCCATCTTACATCACTCACTTACCCTGATATAACTGGTCTTTCCTGTGCCAGTGGGCCCCACAAACATGATGGGCTTTTTGTGTGTAACAAGCAACATTATAACAGCAATGTTGCGAATTGTCTCCACAGTCTGCACTATGATCTGGTTTGCAGGAATATCACGGGGAATGGGAGGCATGGAATTGAGGTCATCTGCCCAAAGTTTCCATTTTCCTTTGCCCTGAAATCAACAAAGCATAAACACTATACAGATAGACTTGAAAGGATACTGATGACGGTGTATACTGTACTTCTTTTGGCTTATTTTGGACTTCACCCATCTTCTGGTATGTAAAGAAAAAAAGACAAAAAACCACGATGTTTCGGAGACTGGATCTGTCTCCGTCTTCAGGTGGATAGGGAAGGATAAACCTACTCAGTTGAGCCCCTTAGAAAGAGCTAGTCTCAATCACTGGACAAACCCCAGTCTGTAGAAAAACAACCTATGAACAACCAACAACCAGTTCCATCAGCGGGAGGAAAGAATAAAATCACAGTAAAAACATGATAGAAAATTTGTGCCAAGCATGCACTTGTCAACAATGTAAAGAAACAGAAGTATATGAAGAAAGTCGTCTTCTGGGTTTAGGCACCGTGTATTCTTCGTTTTGGCCGACGTTTCGGAGGAACGTAGCGCCTCCATCTTCAGAGCAGTTGAATGGCTGCGGAGAGCAGTAGCTGTGGTGATAGGATGTGGAAGGTGCTGCTTATAAACAAAGTAGGTAGGGGGGGTGGTTAGGGAGAACGGACCAATGGGAGCAGTGGGGAGTGATTAAGGCCATATATGGTGTGTGACTAAGGGAGAGGGGGAACGGCCAGTGAGTACAGGAAACTTGAGGTCAATAGCACTAGGAAGTGCTGTAGTCAAGAAAAACCGGTAGATTGAGGACAGGCTATTGACGTCAATGACATGACGAAGAACTGGTGTGGCTAGTTGGATTCTCTTGAGGGAAAGGATGTTTCACGTCTGTCGAGATTGTTGAGAGCGATAAAGACCATATGATGT